CCGAATGGCAACAGATACGAATGAAAAGTGTATCAATTTAAACACTAAAGTGTTAAATTAAAACATTAAAGTGTATCAATGCAAAATCCTTTTTCGAGAATAATAGCCCTCTTTGACTAAAAGTATATTTGACAAATAAAACGATATATAACATAATTCTATAAAAATATTTAGTGGTTTTAGTTAAATTATCATGAATTAAACGCATTTTTATTTAACTGAATCAAATTCAAAAATGAAAAAAGTATTATTTTTAAGAAACGCGTCTATTGTTTTAAAATAGTTTCATTTGTTCATTAATAACAGACAGATTAAATTTGAAAGATTTCTTGCATTTTGCTCAATGGCAACAGACGTGAATAAAAAATGAAAAACCCCAAATCGTGTTTCGGGACTAATAGCCCTTTTGAGCTAAAACTAAGTTGGCATTCAATCTGAATTTGTATACATGCTGATTTTTTCATGAAAAATCAGCAATGTCATCACCGAGGTCCGAACTACAGATATTCCATTTGTTAGTTGGATGTTCTAACCACTTACACCGTGGAATACACACTGAGATGTAAATTCCTACTTAAAGTGCAAATGGGAAGAGGAACCAGACACAGTCGACCGAATTTAGGTGGAAGCGAATGATCTTCCACAACATTTTAGTTCGACTTGTGGTTCAACCCTTTGCTCTCAAGGACTATTTCTCTCATGTGAACCAGCAACTCGAGACGATTTACCGCAAATGTGATGAATTTCATGCATATAGCTTAAAAGAATTTCACACAGCTTAAAGAAATCTAATGATTCCTTTATTCTGAAGCCATTTGTCGCTTTCACATTCACTATCTCCTACCTTGATATTGCTTACTTCATCGCTATCTTCCTGACTGCTTTTCTCCTCTGTCGTCAAGTAGTTCTATGCACAGACATAATTACGTTCTTCGTTAAATCGAACTCATTTTCACTTAAATTGATTCCTTCATCGCATCCCATGCTCATTGGGCTCCGTAACTTTGAGAATAACATCCTATTGCCATCACCGTCGAAGATGCTTATATAATATAAATCTAAAACTATATTTAAGATAAAACATTGGCAGTTGATTTATACGCATGCATTGTTAGATACATTCATGAAGCAGTATTGCTCAAACCAAACTTCTCGCGAATTTCGCATCAAATCGAGTGGTAATTAAGAGTCACCTCTCGTGTTACCGTATTAAATCAAGTGGCGATCGAGTGTTACTTCTCAAGTTACCGCATCAAATTAAATAGTGGCCGAGAGTCACCTCTCGATTTACTGCATCAAATCAAGTGGTGACCGAAAATTTATCTCTCGAGTTACCGCATCAAATGAAATGGTGACCGAGAGTCACCTTTCGATAACCACATCAAATCCAAGTGGTGACCGAGAGTCACCTCTCACGTGCAAAGGTTTAATGGCCGAGATGCTAATTCAAGCCAGTGGATAGCTGGCTCATTATCAGTGTAAAAGTGATCACATATTTTTTTTAGAGCAAGAGTTGTGACTATCAGTTCTGCTCCAGCCGGCATTCGAACCATCTGACTGGGTTATGCGCTTAACCACAAAAGCACGCGCAAGAGAATGCGTTAAATATCCTTACAGTTTTATGTTTTAGAAGATTGCTGGTTACTAAACTATTTAAGCATAAGTACTTTTCTAATTGTGATTTGTAACTAATATTTATTAAACATATGAGTTATATGAGTTGTAACAGACCTATTTAAGTGTAATTGAACTATTTTATTCACGCCATGAACTCATGAACTGTAACCGAACTATTTTATTTAAACGCCATCTCGTGGCGATATGAAAAAACGTCAGTCGACCTCCAGCCGCCATGATGATAGATTACTATGTTATGTTATTCTCAATGTTTGATGTTCCATTTCGTTTATGTTTCATTTTTATATATATTTCTTTTGTTTGTAACCGTTCCTGTGTGCTCTGTTAATAAATCCTTTTAAAGCTAGCCGGCATTAGTGTCTATTGAGGAACGGCTACATCACATTGGCGCCCAACGTGGGGCCCCAATGTGATGTAGCCGTTGAAGCAGTGTTGCTACAAGGGGAGAAAAATGAAGAACACCCTATAGAATATGCCAGCCGCTTGCTGACTGCATCAGAACGAAACTATCCCACCATAGAAAAAGAAGCCTTAGCAGTAGTATGGGCACTCAACAAATTTAGAGGATATGTTGAAAGCCAGTCTATCACAATCACCTCTGACCACCAACCATTGAAATGGCTGATGTCTTTAAAGTCACCAACTGGTAGGCTCGCAAGATGGGCCTTACAAATCCAATCCTACAATCTGACTATCAATTACATTCCTGGACGATTGAACTTTATTGCTGATCTATTGTCTCGTCCAATTTGTGAACACTCAAGTACAGATTCTTGTCAAGTATGTGCTGTCTCTGTCGAAATCCCTACTATTAGCCCTGCAGAATTAAGACAATCACAGCTAGAAGATGATGATCTTCGGAAGATCATCGAAACTTTTGAGAGTCCAGAGAAAGAAGCAGTCTGTGCAACTTGGACTGGAAGAGGCTACGTTATGAACAGAGGAGTTTTGTACCGATATTCCCCTGATTCAGAAGAGGAAGAAGCTCAACTAGTTATACCTCAAAAAAGAAAAGCAGAAATCTTGAAAGAATATCATGATTCGCCAACGGCCTGTCACTATGGATCTGAAGGAACATTTTATCGAATAGCAAAAAGATACTACTGGGTTGGAATGAGAAAGGATATAGCATGTCAAAAGCTGTCTCGAATGCTGTCGTTATAAAGCCACTAATCAAAAGCCATCTGGTTTACTTCAAACTCCAGTCTATGCTCAACGTTTTGAAACCTTGTCAATTGATCGTTTCGGTCCCCTTCCTGAAACACCGTCTGGTGAAAAATGGATTTTTATTGTGCAGGACTGTGCTACGAAGTGGACAGAACTATTTGCTTTAAAGGAAGCCACGGCCAGAGAATGTGCCACTATTCTTTTGGAGGAAGTTGCCCTTCGATTTGGGTTACCCAGGAAAATAATAAGTGATAATGGTACCCAGTTTACTAGTGCTGTTATGCAACAACTATGCTATATCTTGAACATTGATCAAAGTCTTACTCCTGTCTATCACCCACAATCTAACCCAGTTGAAAGGAAGAATAGAGATCTGAAACAACGTTTAGCAATACTTGTTGGTAACGACCATCAGTCATGGAAGGATAAATTGCCATTAATAAGGTTTGCTTTGAATACAGCCAAATGTGATTCAACTGGACATTCTGCTGCTTTTCTTCAATTTGCACGAGAGTTACGAACCTTAGATGATGTAAAGCATGATATAAAAGCCGTAATTGAGAACGATAATTTTGTTCCCGAAATTACTCCATATTGGAAACGTTTTGCAAGAAATGTACAACAGGTACGAGAAAGAGTCGAAATGCATCAAGATAAGCAGAAACGATATGCTGACAAAAAACGAAGAGAAACACCGAAATTCGTTCCTGGAGATAAAGTTTTGGGTCACCCTCCACCCAATCAGCAAAGGTCCACTGAAGAAAACTGCTAAATTCATGCCCAAGAGAGATGGTCCTTATGTGATAGTGACTACAAGATCTCCAACCACTTATGATATTGCCGATCCTCATGAACCAGACAAAATTCTCGGCAAGTATCATGTTTCAGCCTTGAAACCATATCAAGATCGAAATAAGCAAAACTCAGCTCGTGTAATTCCAGTGGTTCCCTTAAAGAAAAGAGGACGCCCGAAACGTGTAATACCGCCCGAATCTGCACCTGTTGCACAAGGTGCTGGTGACGCAAAATCTACTGCTCGTCAAACTGGAGCCCATTCATCTGATTCTCCGCCCGCTGCACAAAGTAGACAAATGTCAGTTCCTGACTTCTTGCCGAGACGTCTACGAAGTCAGAGGGGAAGGATGTAACAGACCTATTTAAGTGTAATTGAACTATTTTATTCACGCCATGAACTCATGAACTGTAACCGAACTATTTTATTTAAACGCCATCTCGTGGCGATATGAAAAAACGTCAGTCGACCTCCAGCCGCCATGATGATAGATTACTATGTTGTGTTATTCTCAATGTTTGATGTTCCATTTCGTTTATGTTTCATTTTTATATATATTTCTTTTGTTTGTAACCGTTCCTGTGTGCTCTGTTAATAAATCCTTTTAAAGCTAGCCGGCATTAGTGTCTATTGAGGAACGGCTACATCACATTGGCGCCCAATGTGATGTAGCCGTTCCTCAATAGACACTAATGCCGGCTACCTTAGCCGTTCCTCAATAGAGCCGGCTACCTTAGCCGTTCCTCAATAGACACTAATGCCGGCTAGCTTTAAAAGGATTTATTAACAGAGCACACAGGAACGGTTACAAACAAAAGAAATATATATAAAAATGAAACATAAACGAAATGGAACATCAAACATTGAGAATAACATAACATAGTAATCTATCATCATGGCGGCTGGAGGTCAACTGACGTTTTTTCATATCGCCACGAGATGGCGTTTAAATAAAATAGTTCGGTTACAGTTCATGAGTTCATGGCGTGAATAAAATAGTTCAATTACACTTAAATAGGTCTGTTACAGAGTTCAACCATATGATCTGAAAGACAAGAAAAAAAGAAAAAAAAAAAAAAAAAAAAAAAAGAAAAAAAGCAAAGAGCATTAAGATAACTGATAAGGGTGCTCAAGTATGATGCTTAGTCGGCATTGTTAGTAAGCATACGTTAAGTTTCAGTCAAAAGTGTAAACCTTTATGTTGATTTATTGTTTTAAGTTAACAGGTGGAGAACTTTTGTAACTTAGAGGGAAGAAACCATTTACAATATTTTATCAAAATCAGAAACCATTTACAATATTTTATTAAATAGAAACAATTAATTGCTTAATTGCAATTATTAAGTTATCCAGCTTTTCGCTTATGTTAAATAATGTATTTATGAAGATATCTGAAGTTTACCTCGTAAAATCCAAGCGTTCCGCTTCCCTTGGTTATATTTCCAGGATTTCCGGGACCGGAAGTCGAAGCACCCAGTCCATTGTTTTCTGGATTGGTCAGACGGAACGATCTGCCATAGGCTGGAATTCCGATGACTAGCTTATTCTTTGCGGCTCCTCTTTCTATCCACGCTTTGGTACTACTTATCTGAGAAGAAAGAATTTTGAAGCGAATAAAAAGAAATAAACCACAATAATTATCACTCAAAAGTTTCAAATAAGAGACGATTCATGAAAAAAAATTATACACAAGAGAGTGTTTCTACAAAATATTTGATTTAATATTATAAATTGTTTAATTTTTTATCCGTATTGAACATAAATAGTTATTTTACTGTGCACAAAATGTTTTGGAAATCGTCATGGTTTTTAGGTGTATTACCAGATTTTAACAGATAGCTGAAAAGCGAAACCAGATTTTTGTGAGATCAGCCACACCATTCATGAACACAGCACGATTGGGGGCCACGATTTCTTCAGTCGAGATTTAATGCACTGAATGATTCTTGATGAGCCTTCATTCTAGGAAAACCTGGGGCTTACTATCATCCTAGAATATAAGGGAAATCGACCTCTTTAGAAGTGAAATCTTTGTTCGCAGAGGCATCATTTTAGATGAATACATACCACTACATATCTTCGATGCAAGCATTGTGACCGCATAGCGTTATATGGGTGATTATTTGTGAAACGTACGTGAGGCTTTTCTAGGAACTATTGGAAAAGGCTCCGCGTAGATGGTATAGTGGTTAGGGGAGCCTGCTACGGTACCGAAGGGCCTGGGTTCGAATCCTGGAGAAGACATGGATGTTTGTATAGTGTCGGTGTGGCATGGCAACACTCTAAATATGCGTCGAGCCGAAAGTCCTCTCGTATGCTCGTATGGATTGGCGGAAGGAGAAAGAGGTGGGAGACCCCCGGATGCCCCCGGCTGCCCTACCTCAAAATTGGGTAGGAAAATAGAAATTTATCTCTCTTTGGAGCAGGCTGTGGTCACCATTGTTCCATGTAATATGGACAAGGCCTTATTTTTACGTACGTTAAGATCAGACTGAGTTCAACTGGTGGACGATTTTCTAGAGGAAGAGAGTATTTGCCAGCGAAATTGCCAGACTTAAATCCAATACAGTATGTTTGGACTCTTTTAGTGAGAACGTCTTTGCACGACGTCAACACCTTTCAAGTCATTAAAATTCTTCGGTTTCAGGAGAATGGGATTTTTTGCTCAAGCTATGATCAACAGCCATATTTGTATTCTTATAGGCCATTGTGAATTACGCAAAGCTAAGCTGAGTCGTCAAACGTTTTATTAGCGGATAGGATCAATATGGAAATATCAGTTGTCTCACTTTGGCAGCTTTTGGATTCATTTATATATCGTTAAGACTCTTGATTATTCTATAATATTATAATTGATTGTCTCATAATATTGGGCATCTGTGTACAAAGTTTCATTGCAATTAAGCAATTATTTTAATAGAGATATAGCACTATTTGCGTTTGGACACTAGTTTGGATGTTATTTTAATTACTGAAGTTTTGATGTTGAAAGATTTCGACAGAACGATTATTTTTCCGTAGTTTAAGAAGGTTAGACTAGTATTTAGTTCAAGCCAAATTATACTCAGTTTGAAGATGAATGCAAATTTTAATATTAATGGGTCTGAAAGACAGTGAATTTCGTTCTTCTACAATTTTTAAGTAATTATTTGGTATATGCTTCAGCACCTGTACTGTGAAGTGTTTGTGAGTTTACTCGAAACAGCATAAGAATATCCAAAATCGGTTAGTAATCATGCTTTGTTTGCTCTAGTAGAGTTGCAACTAAAATGGATAACACGAGTTCATGATCATTTTTTACTTTAATATTCATGTGTGTTTGCTGAGCAGGGAAAATTACAGTTAGACTATTTAAAATCAATATTTTATTCTCATCAATGACTAATCAAAAGGGCACATTTTTAACGTTGATTTAATTCGATACTTCGTAAATTAGTTCGCATCGGCTGTGTTAAATATTAAATTTCTGTCAATTTTTGGGAGGTTTATTCTGTCTATTAATTTATTTTTCAGTCGGTATCAAGCATTCAAGTTTCAAATCACAATTGTGAAACTTTGTGAATTGCGCATAAATAATTCGACTTATTCACACAGTTCACTAATTTCAGACAATTATTAAAATAGCTTCTACAAAGTAATATCAGCAAATTAATCGTCCTATCGATCTTAAAGAAAGAGCACAATTTATCTGCCATAATTGCAAGTGGTAGAAGCTTGATTTCATCCTTCAGATTCATTTGTCTACTTCTTTATCCTATTATCAACTTGAAGGATTAAATATCGCCTGAGCGAGAAAGATCTGGGATTTGAAACTTGCTAAAAGCAATGAAATTCCAATTTCGGACACAAAGAGTCGCATTACGTTTACAAGAGCCAAATTCTTTTCCTATGAGGTTTCAAAGCCAATCATAGTTTGGAAATGAGTTGGAGCTCAATTTGCCACTAGGACTATAAATGCTAAAATATGGACTTGTTACAATAAATAATTAGAAGCTTTGAAAAGCAATATGACTTATTTGAGCATCAATTATTTCCCATTTTATTTAAATATCGCTGGAAGTAATCAAATAAAGAACAAATAATTAGTTTCTAATAGCTTATAGATAACTCAAGCCAAAGATCTTAACTTTAAATTATAGCAGTTGGATATGACAGCGATTATTTAACAAAGAGCAATGAGGTAATGTGCCCATTAAAGTGGGTGGTCTGATAATTATTTCAAAATTACTTCTGACTAACAATTGGGAATATCAAAAGACAAATCTTTAGACGTGTCTTCTTAATTTCATACATACATAAAATGGAACAATAATTCAGCAGTTTGAACAAACTTAGTGCTCGATTAACATTATAAATTCATTAAATAAGGAACTTCACCAAGAATATTAAATTTCTATACAAGCATACATTTTGGTTCTTACGTTTAACTACAGATAGCAGGAACTTGGAGGATAATGAATTCTTTAAGCATTCTCGGATAGAGCCACTAATGTACTGGACAACAATCCGTAAAACATTCTTAGTATTTAATCTGGCTCGAAACAATTCGAGAAATTTGCAGAATATTTTAGAATAAACAAAATCGCCTCTGTAAAGTAAAAGCATCTTAATTTTAAATACGCAAAATATATATACTTTATAGAGACATTAGGCATTTTTTGGAAGCAAGCAAGATGAAAAATTAGCAATCGTCTTCCCCGGGAATCGAACCACGGACCTCTGGAATACCGGCCCAGCGTGCAGAACCACAACACCACGAAGGACGCTAGGAAAGTGGGAGAAATACCTTATACACTTTTTAAAGGGAGACTAGGGTTTTAGGGGACCTAGTCACCAAATCCTGGGTGTAGAGAATCATCATCCACATCCCTTTTAGTTCGGGCGCCACTGTAGAGACATAATGTATTTTTTGGAAGCAAGCAAGATAAAAAATTAGCAATTGCCTTCGCCGGGAATCGAACCACGGACCTCTGAAATACCGGCCCAGAGTGCAGAACCACTACACCACGAAGGACGCTAGGAAAGTGGGAGAAATACCTTATAACTTAACACAGTAGTTGCAATAGTTTCTTTTTGGTATACTTCAATCGTTGCTATTCTAGCCTCGTTTTAGATGAAAATTATATTGCTGTACATTATGCAATTTCAAATAGGCATGTTTGTTCATCGACATGACTTAAGGTATTTTTCTGTTTTACGAATTGTTGTTCAGTACATTAATGGCTCTATCCGAGAATGCTTAAAGAATTCATCATCCTGCAAGTTCTTGCTACCTAAAGGCAAACGTAAGAACCAAAATGTATGCTTTCATAGAAATTTAATATTGTAGAGACATTAGGTATTTTTTTGGGAAGAGAGCAAGATGAAAAATATACAACGATTTCGCCGGGAATCGAACCACGTACCTCTAGAATACGCGTCCAGCATGCAGGCCACCACACCACGAAGGCACACTAAGAAGACTGGAGAAATACCTTATAGTGTATTGTTCTATGAGAAGACTATGACTATTAGCTCTTACAGTGTAAAGGGCTAGATTTGGGCATATAATATCTCTTCATATTTAGTAAAAAAGTTTTAAGTAATCTTTGATTTATATTATAAAGTTTAGTTATTTGATTAAGGCAAAACACAGGAGAATCATATGCCTAAGGGAAAAGATGCTTACATGAAAGATTCTGTAATGAAAACGAACTCCTATTCTACTATACCATTGCACATGAGGCAGAGCACGAAAGTTCCCATCCAGCCTATTTGCGTAATTAGAACTCGGGATGACTGGGTTCAGAAGTTTTACTGCTCGGCCTCTGGTAAGCATAATAATAAAATGTTAGAGAGTGGAAAGGAGCATTGATCAAACTGGTTCGCATAATTTTTCACATATTGCTTAATGCTGAATTAGATCAATAAGGGTACCAGGTTTATCATGTTTAGATTCTTGAGAGTGCACCCACTAAATGGAATGAACATGATATGCCTGTCTTTCAAAAGTTATCTTACCATTGTTGGAGTTGAAGATGGATCCTCTGGTCGGAAATCAAACTGGGCATGATGTCTTGTTACTCCTTCCGTATAACTGTGGAAGTCATAGGTCATGATATTAATGAAATCCAAATCCCTAAAAGGAATTCAGTATCAAACATTAGGAAAACTGGAAAACTACACTTTGGAATAAACAAAACAATAAAAAATTTTGACGGCCTTTTCTCGAAAAAATTTTAGATGTCTCTTGCTTTGTACTCTGTCTGTTTTTAGACACATTTGAAGCAGTAATTTACACTCAAATTAAGTGGGCATCAAAAGTAAAGGATAATGACAGAAGTAAATGTTAGACATATCTGTAGCAGTAATTTACACTTAAATTAAATGTTCATGAAAATTAAAGAATAATGATAGAAATAAAAAGTAACTGATACATAATTCAAAATTATTAATAGAAATTTGTACAAAAGCATTAGTTAACATAAATTACAATGTTTGGCAATTGGTTATTCGCAAAATATTGAAATTAAAACCAAATTCATGGAAATTTGTTGGAAAATGATAGAAAAATGAATATCTAAATAAAATGAATATATCCATATCTCACATCTTGATTTCATAGACTTTACCAAAATTGTTGATTAAGTCTTACGAAATAGCACGCCACTCTTCTGAAAGTGCACTCTCCGGATGCTAGAGAGTCCTGGGAGGAATTTGGAGCATATAAATTCGGCGCTCTAAGGCAACCCACACATTTTCAGTCGTGTTCAAGTCGGGGAGTAAGCTGACCAATCCATTTGAGTGATAATTTCTGTTTGCAAGTATTCTGACACCACAAATGTTCGATGAGGCTGAGAATTGTCATCCGTTAACAAAACGTCTGGGCCAACAGCACCCCTAAACAATCTGACATGGATTTCCAATACTTTGTCCACATATCTCCGAGCGGTTACATAACGTCCTTAAAATATATGCATCTTGGTGCCGCCATTTGTTCTGACTCCTCCCCAAACAACTACACTGCGGCCCCGAAACGGATATTTCATAGACAAGGAAAGGCAAACTGCGTATTCCTTCATCTCTCCAGATCAAAAAACGTCTAGAATCACTGTTCAGACTATATTTGGACGTAAAGAGTACTCGGTCCTCACTCGTCTTGCTTCTACTGAACATAACGATGGCACCAGTTTAAACGGGCTCCTATGGAAATTGGAGGGAGTGGGACACAAACCATCGGTTTTTATCGCATACAGTCCAATCTCGTTAAGCCTTCGTGCAGCAGTGTCAGCAGTGTTGAGTTCCCGTGGATGCCCGAAGGTCTAAAACCAAATTTCTTGTAGTCGCTTCGAGGTTTCTTTGAGCCGACAACTCGGTCTTCTGATGTAGTTGTTGTTCTTGGATGGCCTTGATCAGGCTATCTATCAACTGATCCAGTGTTTGAAAAACTGCTCCAAACTCTTGATATGATACTTTGAGAGATATTCAAGTCTTCGACCACCTCCATTTGTACTTGACGTTCCTCGATTCTACCAGTTATTCGCCACTTTTTAACTTCATTTAAATGATGCCTTTAAGCCATAACTACTAAATACTGATCACTCTTAGAAACCACATTCACTTTAAACAACCTACAGACCAAAATTCCAGCATGCGCCCTCTACGCACTACATTGTCAGTCATCGAATTTGCATATTTCCGGCGCTAACCTAAGCGAGGAAGTGAAATTTTGTGTTGAATTGTACTTAATTAACAGAAATAGTTACGGCACTGGGCACTTTTGCAATATTAACTTAGTTAGAATATTGTTTCTTACTATCCCTTAATTTTGATGACAAGTGTATATTAGCAAATTAAATTTTGCAGCAGAAACTCTGATTTTTTAACAACCAGTTTTTAAATCCTTTAGTTAGAGCAAGCTTAAATTTTTCTTTAAAAAATGGGGCAAAAGCAACTAAAGAATTAGATGTCTTTCTTTATACTTATTCTATTTGTCTTTGAGTAGAATTTATAACAATAATTTATGTCTGCAAATGAATTCTCCAACGGAAATCTTTATTATCTAAATTTCCGGGTTTTACAGTTAATGAAATAGAAGCAAACATAACACTAGGGTGGTGGGATTCAAATTTTAAGCTATACATGTCATCGTCCGATTAATCGAGCGTTATAAACGTTCAGGCGTTATTAGAAAAGTGATACACCGCGAAAGAGATTCGGCGTCAAAGTAAAGATATTTGCTCAGTTTAGTAAGTATAAGAATGAGTTATAAGAATTAAATAAAGTTTAAGTTAATTAAATGCGAATTGTAAGAATTATATGCGTAATATTTTGGCTCACCAATGGGCCGAGCGGTAAAATCGCTGAACACTGGTAGTTCTGAGTTCAATTTCAGGGGAACGAGGTGGCTGTATGGGCGTTTTCGTGTTTTTCCTCATATGTAACGTACACTGGTGTGCAAAAATTAAGGACGAAGTCGAAAAATTAGCATATCAGCTGAACGAAGAGGCAGAGCGGACAGAAAGACCAATCAGGAGATTAAGTAAGGTGATGTACGGTAGCACATGCGCAGATATGCAGGTAGACGTAATGGGGGAGTGTCTGAGTAGTATAAAGCATGTTGTCGGTGTAAGATCAGTATTTCTGGCAAAGAGATTGCACGCCGTATAGCAGTTAAAATCACACCGAGTTGCTGCCTCAGCGAGAAATGGCGAATAATCAATCTGTTCGGAATTGCTCACAGCATCGTTTCACGACTTTGGAGACAATTTCAAACTACAGCTATCCGGGGGATAAGTAGTGGTCGTCCACGAGGAACCACACCCGCAGATGACCGGCATGTTGCCTTACAGGCCAGAAGAAACAGGCGGCGGACAGCGGGAGAACTCGCTAGACACACGACACAGGCGACTGGATGACCGATATCGCGTTTTACCTTGGCCAGAAGACTGCACGGTGGTGGTCTGTTTGCACGACGCCCTGTACGGTGTGTACATCTAACGCCTGCCCATCGGAGAAGGCGTTCTCTGTGGTGCCGGGAACACCGGAATTGGAGAGACAGATTCAGTCTGAGTAGCGATTCTCATCGCATACTCATCTGGAGAGAGCGGGGAAGCCGCAATCATCCCTGGAACATCATTGAAAGGGACAGGTATGGAGGTGGCGGTGTTTCTCGTTTGGGGAGGCATCATGCTTGGTAGTCGTACAGACCTTCAAATCTTCGGACGCAGGTTCAGTCAACGGGACCCGTTATTGTAACAAGATTCTTCTTCCATATGTGCGTCTTTTTAGAAGCGCTATGGGTTCGCAGTTCCTTTTCATGGACGACAATGCACCATGTCATCGCACAGTAGCTGCCGAACAGCTCTTAGAGAGTGAGGATATTGAACGTATGGATTGGCCGGCACGATCTCCGGATCTCAATCCCATCGAGCATGTATGGGATTTTCTAGGCAGATGCTTGACAGCTCGTACCTTACCACCAGTAACGATTCCGGAGCTTCGATTGGCGCTGCAGACGACATGGGCAGGAACGCCTCAACAACTTTGACACCCTCATTCTCAGCATGGGCAGACGCTGTGAAACCTGCCTAGCAGTCAGGGGAGATCATATCCCCTATTAAAGACCGGATGTTTCTTGCTGGACACCCATCACAGGGATGTTTCGGCCTTCAGTCGCATTGCGCTCCATGCTACTTTTTCAATAAAGCCTTCTTTTTATCCTCTGATTTCTCTTTTAGTAAGTATTGCTTACATTACTCATGTCCTTACGTATTGGGGATCTTACGGTATTAAATGTGTTGATTTGGAAAGCTTTTGTACAAAATTATATTGAAAAAACCGTCTCGTCCTTAATTTTTGCACACCAGTGTATATACGAGCCAGTTTCAATGAGAAAGTTCTCCAGGAAGACATCTCTTCCCTCAGGCAGATAGCTGTAGCATGCTTTGTCATAGTAAACTAAACCAAACTATATGTGTTATAAGCGTTATGTAAGCGACGTATAAGCGTTGTATGTGTTATAAGCGTCATTAATAAGATTGAAATATTTAGAGAAATTTGCGAAAATATTAGCTTTCTTAGGACTCAGTGACACAATGCTCGAGTAAGGCTGGAGACTAATATCCCTCTGATGTTAAAACATTTCATTTGCTACATTATTGAAAAAAAAAAGCATTAATTGCTTCGACTCATTTCAAAAATTATTATGATAATATTTGGGTATTTAAGATTTGCATGCAGAGAAGCCTACCTTAAAGTTTAGTAAAATAAGCGCAAACCTGAAAGATATTGAAATTCTGCTTATAACAGTTTTATCTTATATCTGTATTCTTAATAATTGTGAGTTTGAATCAGTCTCGGAAAAAAAAATGCGAGTCTGAAATAAGTAATTTCCACCAACACAAGATGTATAAAAATATTGGTACCTATCCAAATGTTCCAATAAATCTTTTGAAGTTCAAGCTTTATATTCAGTTAGAGACCAGAACTAGACAACTTCTTCCAACGTAGTAACAATGCTGGTTCAAAGCGAGCCACAGAGTGGTGTCAAAATTGTGAGTATCACATACTACTAGTTTTAAAATCCTGAAGTAACTTTGATTAGTATTATTTTACAAATTGCCAAAAACAAAGTAATTTTAAAAGGAATTATTGCATTTATTGTATATAATCTTATGGTGTCAATTATTAGAACGTCTAGATGGCAAGTGAAATATCCACAGTTCAAATCCCCTCGGCGTCACAATTAATTTCAGACGTGTGCTGTCTCCAAAAGTATTACATATCTCTACAAGTGGGTGCGGCCTAAAATACGGTGCGCAATAATTCGTCATCACCTGAAATTTGGTAGAATGGGTGTCATATTTCTTTTCAGTCACCTCTCAAGCAGAAAGAATATAAGAAACTGTAACACTCTCCGTGCGCACTCTTGTGGCATAAATGGTTCTGCAATTTTTCAAACCGTATTTGCATGAATATTAACATTTTCTACTGTACCAAAGCAAAAGTTGAAATTCTTGAGAACACAATGATGAACAATGAACACATACTGAAAGGGATCAGAATAATTTTTTTGACAGAAGTTATTAGCTTATAAAAAAATGATTTGGTTAGAGGAGTTAAAATTTTTGAAATTTG